GACAAGGTCGCTGTTAAACCGATCAAACACGCTAAGGCCGTAGTGAGAATGATTTTCTTGGTTGTGACGTTTTCCAGGTAGAAGTGAGTGTGTTCTATGGCCAGGTACCTCTCAACACTGGACACCATGAATATTATCAGCGTAGCACCAGCGCACATGACCGACATTACGACATTGAAAAGAACAGCCTAAAAATAGTAATGTACAAAGTTTGAGAATAATACGTTGAAAATCCGTGAAGAAAGGACTTCTAAAAATCACAACATTTCATAAAGAAATGTATGGTGGTCGAGTGGTTTTAACCTGACCATAATTTTTTTGCAAATATTGGTGTTTTTGAAGGGCTGAATTTTGTTGAATTTTCAAAGGTTTTTTCTCAAACTTTGTAAATTTTTGCTAATTTTAGGATGTTCTTTTCAGATTAATGATTTTTTACTAGCTACTAGATTTGGAATGACTGAGTTATCCGTGAAATGGCCAATTGTTGAAGTTGAGCGATATCTATAATGCATGTAAATACGAAATTTTTGAAAGAAAAAATAAGTAGAAAAACATTTGTCTTACTTTATGATRTGGTCTTAGTTATGAATTTAGGCGTAATTTGCCGTTTTTCTTTGATATCTCCCCTACTTTACTTATATAAAACGAAGGCTCGGGGTACGAGATTGGTGAGATACCTGTGTTTTGTTTGTTTCCGCTGGATGGTGAGACTGCAGGCCTCGGCATTCGACTTGGTTCCTGGTTCAGGTCCAGTTTTAATACAAATGGCTGGCGAAACAAGAATGAATTTTCAGTTATCTATTCAAATTCTATACTACTTAATTATTCCCGTTATAATATACGGGTCTAAGTGTCCAAGCAAGATAGGCAGTGATCCTACAGATGTTAACGGGCGCTTGAAAGCTTTGGTCAGCTCTTCTTCGTAAGTCTTTAGACAGTGAACTGTATTAAGCTTAAATACTTACATCTGACTTTTGTTGCCTATATTAAGGCATACTTTATGCTTTGTTTGCTTCCTTTTCTAACATTTTATAATGTAAGCTCTAAATCTGCAATGTCTTCAAATGTAAGCTTTAAGTTTTAGTTAAGCTTGTGCGAAAAAGTGAGAAGAGTTTAGTGTAGGCCAAGTACAAAACTCATAAGAGTTTCAGTTTTCACTTTCACYATTTAAAAAATCGACTCAATCTCTTTTCTAGCTCTGTTTTAGTTTTCTATATCGCTCAGTGCTTTTCTTCTCTACCACAAGTAACGTTATTTTTAGTCATGTTGTATATCACGTGTCATGTGACATTTTCACGTGATCGTTCGATGTTTCTCCTGACAAACTTGAAATGTTTCATTAAATCATTTAGTTCAAAAAAATGACATGTGGACATCCTCTATTTATTATTTGATAAAATATTGAGGCTGTGTAGTGCATCTCAGGATGACATCTATAGGAATTTTGGTTGTTTTGGTGACAGGACTAATCTAATAGTTGTGTTGTTGTAAATGAAACCTCTGCAGTCTTGTACTGTCACACAGGCTTGCACTTTGATATAGGCTCATGTATGACTAATAAGAGAATGAAAAATTTGAACAGGATAAGCAATATTTTAAGGATTATTTTAACTTCAGAAATGGAAAAAAGGAGGAAGAAGYGATAGAAGGAATAGAAAGTTCTCATTCTTACATGTATACACCTATTTCAAAAAGCGTTGTCGTAGCCAGGACATAGTCCACGGTCTTGAGACTGCAAAGAATCTCGTGATTATCATAAACAATCAGAGTTCTGGTTTAAAACCAAGCAGCATATTCTTTTGTTTTATTGATAGCCCAAGAAAACGCATGGAA